CACAAATAATGGTGGACAAATAGCAAGAAAATTATACAAGTAAAACATAATTTTAACTTATTTCTCTAATGGAATTTTGGTATTGATCTACTTAGTAGGATATGCAGTTTATCATATTTTTGAATATTTATATTCAATATTGTTCAGGAACAGCCCAATTACTCTGAAAAAAAAATATATGGTCAAATTCTTTGAAAAGAAACTTTTAAAATCAGTAATGATAAAAAAATATATAATTGTTGTATAGCAGAACCAGGGGACACAGAATTAGGGGAATTAACAATAGATTATTAAAAACTGCCTTCTCTTAAAAAAGTAGTATTATATGCACTTAGAAAGACTATAAAGGATATAAGTACGCATAGAAAGAAAGTAAGTATCTATACTACTGATATATATATTATATATATATATATATATATATATATATATATATATATATATATATATATATATATATATATATATATATATATATATATATATATATATATATATATATATATATATATATATATATATATATATATATATATATATATATATATATATATATATATATATATATAACTATATATGAATACGATACCTACAGTATACAATATTACTAGTATAAAAATAACAGCACAGTCGGCACACTTTAAAATAAAAAAGCAGCATAATATTCAGGTATGTATCTAAGTAAAATTTTCTCAAAAATATCAAATATATTATTATATAATAATCAAAAATATTAGAATATGAAATAAATTGCAACTAAATTTTAATTAATAAACATAAACAAATAAAATTGTCAGTGTTATTAAAACTTTATGCAAATATATGTTACCTTAATACTTTGTCTTTAATCCTACTCTTCTGACATGGCTTTTCAAACTAATATTTATGAACTTTTGTTTCCATATTAATTTCAATATATTTGAATAAAACTGGAAAAATAATCAATATTGGCACTTGAAATTTTAATTTCTTATGTCCTTAAATTATTTATATCGTGTTATACATAATACTTACATAAATATTCAATTTAAAAATAGATCAGCACTTGAACGAGTGAATATAAAATAGTATATTATCAATTTCTATGAGCAATATCATTACTAAATCAAAATCTATTCCTAATGCCAATTTAAATTCTGTGAAGGCACAACACTTTCTTCAATATTTGTTTACTTCCAAAGGGCAAAGGGTATAACTTGAAATATTTCAAGTATATATTTTAATTTTGACATTAAGCACTCACATTTAGAACATCTGAAATAAGAAATTTTGTTATTCTACGCGTCTAAAAAGATATAACATTTTCTCACTATAGAGCGAAATTTCTTTGCGGCTTCAGATACAAAACTTGCGGATTTCCATACATCGAAATACAAAATAAGATATTATTTATTAGTAGACAAATACCAGAATACAGAAGGCCAAACCAAACCTCTAGGAAATAACTTTAAAATAAATTATTTATTCAAAAAACGTTTGGATTTTGGATCTATAAATGGGAGAACCATAAACTCTCGAAAGCCCAAGTTATCGAAAACCCGAACGCAAGCGAACGGTAAACCGAATGGTCCCGATTGGAAGTTATCGAATCTCGGCTCCTCCCCTCGCTATTTGTATTTTAAATTGTAAACAAAAGTCAACGCAATTTGTTTTTGTGGAAATACACTTAAAAGACTTTAAAATGTAAAGTTATCTTGCAAAATTAGAACCTGAAAGCCTAGAAATGCGGAATAGGTACAAACCAAAAATTTAACTTGTGAATAACATAGAAAATAGAAGCTCCTAGTTTTGATATTGATGTTAAATGCTAGCCCAGACTGCTCAGTGGAGTTTTCAAAGATGTAAGAAACACGGAAATTATTAGTAGTGTTCACCATGAATTCTTACAAATTTCCAGAAATTAAAAGGAAATAAGAGGCGTGTTTCAAATATTTTAAAGCAAGATTTTGTTATTTTCCCTATAGTTTTTCTATATTTAGTGATTCTTTTAGGTCAAAAATCTACAGCGTATGAATAGTATGTAAACCTGAAGCTGAGATTGTGTTAGAAAGGGTTTCAACATCAAACTATACTGAACTCTAACCCTGAAAATGTTAATACAAATCCAAAGCAATTACCAGCATGACAGGAAAATTAAAAGCAAAAGTTTCATTGAAATAATATTGTTTATAAATCAGGATCAAAATTACATTATTTCACTTTGAAAATAGGACCGGGTGAAGAATATTCATAATGCGGAGCTTAACCAGTTGATATAGTTAGTGTAGTTATTGTGATAGTGAATGTGTTGAATTGAAATACTTATTTCTGCAGAAAAACGTGAGCCTAGCTTAAAGGATACTGTATAAATTTCTAATGTTTTTTTTATAAGTGATGTTTGCCTACTTTTTGTGTTACATCATGTGGCGTTAAAATATTTTTTTTGGAATATATTAAATTCTTTTAGAAATCGGGCTTGCCTTTTATTTTTTCCCTCTAAGGTTTTGTCTTATTATTTTAAATACTTCTTAGCTGATTTCGTTTGAAGGTGATACAATTCCTGCAATTCTATCATAGATCGACCAAATCAGATTATAAAATGGTCGGCGTGTGTTCGGCTAAAATTTAGATGTCTTTGTTATTACACTGGTGTAGGACCAGTATTTTGTTATTGAAATAAAACAGAAATGTAGAGAAACAACGTTTATTTTAATAAATTCAGTACCACTTAAAATAGACAACAAACACCAAGTCAAGATATTCACATGTTTATTTTGATGTGCCCAATGCCCAATTAAGTTATAACTTCTAACATAAAAAAATATCTACCTTTTTGGCAAAAAGAAAACAGTTACTAAGGTCTGCTAAGGTTCGAATTTGTTACTAAAGCCCTCTGCTGAAAACTAATTCAAAAATATTAATTTCTTTTGACGGAAAACATTATGAAAACATCATAAATAATCAACCAGCACTAAATAAAAAATCAATGTTACATTCAAAATTATTCATTGTTAAAAAATATTTACATAAAAGGGTAATTACCCATAAAAGATATTAACTATTTACACAGATAACACATAATTATTATACATGATTATGTGTTATCTGTGCTATTTATTACATATTGCTATTAAAAATTAATTTAATATTTGAATAAAATCTGCTGGTCACATGATAAATCTCTAGATCATATATAATTTATATACAAATATCTTAAAAATGTATTTCTATATATATGATCTAGGGATAAACGTCAAATTTTTGTCTATTTGCCCAAAAATTTGAAAGAAGAACACGTTTTTATTCTGTTTCGGCCTAGGCATATCCGAAACGAAGAAAGGAGGAGGAGTTTAGGCGGTTTACAGTCGGCTCCGCACGACCACCCCCGATACTACACGAAAGTTTCGACAGTTTGAACTTTCGTCAGGATAAAGCCACCTCCTATAAATTACAATAACAATCTCATCACATTTGTCAGTGAAATGAATCAAATAACATAGGTTACCGTTAGAGGTGGGTTGTGAAATCGCAGTCCGCTACTTTGTCACAGCTCCACCAACGTCGCAGTATGTGACTGCTCCAGTTCCAAGAAAATCGCAGTGACATTTCGGAGCAGTTTACAAGTTTAGGACATCTGCGCTCGTGAGTAGCAATAGGAGCAATAGCAGGCAATAGTGTAAATTCTGAAAATGCTCCTAGCCCCGTCGCCCGGTCAGACTGTTCCAGTCACAGTCGTCGCAGGTCGCAGTCGACTGGAGCATAGTATATTGAGTATATTCTGTGTACTGGAGCTGTTGGGAGTTTGGGAACGGGAAACGTAGCAGCGTTCGCTTTTTCTTTCATGAATCTAAATAAGATATTTATGTATTATATATTAATCACAAACAGATGTTTTTGACAAAGGTAATTTTTAACTTGTTAGTATGTTTATTTGTTAGTTAATTTTGTATCTGTGTTTTGTTGTATATCCTAAATCTTTTATTTGATCTTATACATTCATATAAGTTTTATTATTTATATCTATTTTTAAGGTCTGATGATGGCTAAATAGCCGAAACCGGTCACTAATAAAGATTTTTTTGACAGTTTCGACTTTGAATTGAATATAACATTAAGTTTTTACCATGGGCCACCACTCTGTGAAAATGAACAGACTCTTTAAGATATTTATAGCAAAGTGCTTGGTACTTAGAAACACTCAAATTCTTCTGAATAGACTAAAAAAATATAGCAACATCTATCAAACTAAGACATCAGTATAGTACCGTACAGCCGCGATTTTAAGAGCTCTAGGGGCCCGTAGTTCGGAAAAGTTCGAATCTTGTTCGCAAGGGCCCGGGAGGCTTGGGGCCCGTCGGTGACTTACCCCGATTGCACAGACGTTAAAATCGCCACTACTGATCGAAATAAAAAACGGCGTCCAGTTGGCTTGGAAATGACAATCGATAACATTCCCCATAAATTTTACATATAAAATGCCAGCAATCTTCATTTCATAGCTATCGCTGACGCGACTTTTTTTCGATCATACGATATAAATAAATAAAACTAAACGATGATGTTGCCTATCATAATCACACCTATAGTCCTGTACTTTTTTAGTAAATGCAACGAACGGTGCCGAACACCGAGTGCGATTTTTCGGAGCAATTAACCTATAAAACTACATTTTTAATTTATAGGTTAATTGCTCCGAAAAATCGCTGCTACTTGTCACAGTGCTTTTATTGGAGCAGTCGCAGAGCGTAGCAGCTCCACAAAAATCGCAGACTGGCCCACCTCTAGTTACCGTCAATTTATATGTTTTCAATTTCAAATACTCGACGCCCATTGGTCGTGACGAAATCGTCTTCCTCGACAAAATACGGCACGTTTTTTTTGGGCCAGTCGAATATCCTTATTCTATATATCCTTGGGCCAGTCGAATATCCTTATTCTATATATCCTTGGGTATACCCTTTTTGTTTCATGTTTTTTACTGAATAGTTCGTTTGAACTAGCAAGTTATTTCGAACACATTACTAATTTGAATAATTGATCTCAAGGTTATTATTTGTTTATATACTGCAAAACTGGCTGTCGCTGTCAACATCAGCTCTAATCTCTGGAAAGTGGAAGAACGTCATTGGGAAGAACCTTGGAAGTATAAATTTTCTCTCTCCCTGTTTTCTCTGTAATTTTGTACGATTTGTATTGTTCTACGGTTCTACCTCTGTGTCCCTCATAGCAGAGATAGTTATAGGTGTAAGTTATAAAATGTCGATCGCAGTTTTACAGTTTGATGCGAAACGAGCTGTTGAGCAGTTGGAAGATTTATCCAATGATGACTTAGATCAAATCATTAATAATGACGAAAAATTTGAGGAGATTTTATTAAGTTTAGATCAGGTAGAAACATGGTGCTTAATAATTAAAGCCTTTTTAAAGACGAATTTTCGACAATTGCTATTTAATGTATTTTGAATAATTTTCAATTATAAAAACACAGTACTGGCAAAACGAAGTCATTCTTTAAGAAAGTTTGTTGTTAATTTTTTTAAAACTTTAAACTAATTTTTTCAGTCATATGTGAAGGAACTAGAAGTAGAAAAGGAAAATTTAATAGCACAAAATAAGTCAATGGCAGAGTTTAATTTATCAAAGGAACCAGAGTTAGTAGAAGGTCGAGAGAAATTGAAAAATTTATACGATGACATTGAAAAAATTACAAACATTATAGAAGAAAAATCTCAGGAATTAAGTAAGCTTAACATATTTTATATTAGCCTCTTATCATTTTTCATTGCCTATTTTATCATTAGGTATACTGATCGACACCGTCTAAAAGTGTAGTCTGGACTTTAACTTGTTTGTAAGACAGTGATATTGATAGGTTAATGGGTTCCAGTCGATATTACGGACACTAAAAACCTTAAATTTTCCATACAGATTAGGTAGAAACATCCAATATTAGCACTTTGTTACATTATATAGATATGGATCAACCTAGTTTAACCACAAAAATTCAAGAAAACCTCTTTGTAAGCATAAAAATTAAGAAAGTACATGTATTTACAATATTCCGCGCTAGCAACCATTGACTTTTTGATTGACAGTAGTGTTGGGAAAATTCGTAAATAATACGACTAATTCGATAGTAAATTAAAATTAACTAATTCGAATTATCTTTTTCGATATAATCGAGATAAAAATTAGTAGTATTTTATATTATATCTGTGGTAACTGAATTACAAATGAACATAAAACATAACCACTTATGGACGAATACGAATATTAGTAATTAGTATAGTCGTATAGTACTATTAGTAGTATTCTTTCGTTCTGAACAAACTGAAAATTTTCACTTAAACTGATTTATAAAGGGAATCGACAAAGAAAGGAACAATCCGATATAGAAAAATCCAGAAATCATTGTTATTTCCTATACCACGTAGGAATAAATCAGTTTCAAGTGAAAATTTTCATTTCATTCAGAACGAAAGAATACTACTATTATTTGGTTCATTTCCATCTCACCCAAATTTCACCGAACACCTGCCGAACACTAAAATTAATTTTCTTCTTTTATCTAAATAATTATTGATTGCAACTGATAAAATAAAAAGAAATACGAACCGCACGTAAACAAGGACATACTTATATCGTTTTAGAAGAAGCTTTTATTTTAGATATGAGCTTTTCAATAGGAATTGAAACAATCATAAACTCCGCTCTTTTAAATTTAAAACTTTAAATTATGGTTTAATTTATTAAACGGCTTCGGCACAGTTAATAGAATACATTGAATAAAGAATTTTTTTTTTATTTTTTATTCAGTGATAGAATATAGGTATGGCAATGGTTCAGAATTTGTTTAAAATAGCCCCTAGACGAGCACTAGCTGGGACTCTGGGATGAATTTATTTTTAAGTTAAATTTATAATACTACTAAATAATTCAAATTATTAATTCGATTGTGAAATATGAATTATTACTAATTATTCGATGGTGAAAATAATTTGATTATTCCCATCACTAATTGACAGTTGATCGACGGCCTTCGCATGCTATTTGCGACGTTGTCAATATAATTATTTTATATAATTTTCTACTGAAGTGAGGTTATGTTAAATATTCTTTTAGGGGTCTTGTGGTTTTGAATTTTTGGTTAGCTTTTCTTTGTGGAGGGTGTTAAGCTGTGGTTTTTATATTTTAATAATTAACTGTGATTTTGCAAAAATATTATTAGATTGGTTAGGATTTGGGTTGCTTTGGTTAGCGTTTCTTTGTGGATGGTGTTAAGCTGTGGTTTTTATATTTTAATAATTAACTGTGATTTTGCAAAAATATTATTAGATTGCTGGGCATTTGAATTGCTTTGGTTAGCTTTTCTTTGCAGAGGGTGTTAAGCTGTGGTTTTTATATTTTAATAATTAACTGTGATTTTGCAAAAATATTATTAGATTGGTTAGCATTTGAGTTGCTTTGGTTAGCTTTTCTTTGCGGAGGGTGTTAAGCTGTGGTTTTTAAATTTTAATAATTAACTGTGATTTTGCAAAAATATTATTAGATTGGTTAGGATTTGGGTTGCTTTGGTTAGGTTTTCTATGGTGAGGGGGGCTAAGCTGTGTTTTTTTATATTTTAATACGAATCTGAGTGCTTTCAATGATTTGATTTTAAACAGAGATTTTAAAATAATTCATTTGTTTTCACCGTGATAGCGCCACCGTAGGAGCCGTTCCTCCTGCGACCGGCACGTGAAAAATTGGCGTAAAATAGCGGCAACGTCGCACAGGTTAATGTCATCATATGTTTGTGCCATCTGTCAAAATCCTCCGCAGCATCAAATAGTACCATCATTTTATTTCAATATTTTAAAATTTACTGGATAATCCGCAATTTTTTTTGGCTTAAATTATCTACTAAAACACTTATTTTTCAGGACAATTTTTTTTTTAAATTCTTGTGTCCGTAGAGTCGAACGGACCCATAGGCGTTTACGAAAAATCTTTCATCTAATATTTTAAAATTTACTGGATAATCCGCAAATTTTTTTGGCTTAAATTACCTACTAAAACACTTATTTTTCAGGACAATTTTTGTTTTTTTAAAATTCTTGTGTCCGTAAAGTCGAACGGACCCATAGGCGTTTACGAAAAATCTTTCATCTAGAGTTGGAACTTTTTTTTTCACAATTAATTCTCATTTTACTACAGCTGTAATAGATTATATTTAGCTTAGATATATTATCTTCATTTCAGTAGTATGCATGAAAGTTTTTAAAATAATTTATTTTATTACTAATTTATTTAAGGATAAGATAATAATATACAGGGTGATTTACGGCCATGGCACGTTAGAGTTTTAAGGAGAACCGATTTTTGTATAAAGGCTTTGCTCCATCTGTCTAAATTATTTTCAGCATTACAGTATTGCCGTTTCATACTAATAGTGGTAGCATCTTTATTATTTTAAACGGAACATCCTGTATATTATAATATTTTTCAAAACTACTTCCATATCTCAAAATTTTTCTATTATATCGAGATAAAAAATAAATGTTTTTATCTATTATATCGAGAATATCACACAACAAAACAACCAAAAACATAACCTAACATTAACCTGTTAATGTCGACATTAACCGGACATCGGACTTTAACCGTAGCATATACATATAATAGGTTGATAAGAGAAGGGTCTTGGGTCGGCGTATACCTACATGACTAGAAGTGAATCGCTATGGCGATCTTTTAAGTCGGAGGGATAAAAATACGAAGTTTGTTACCTATCCACACATATCCCTGCCTACACAAGAACCGGCAACATTGTATGCCGCTTTTTATTTTGTGTCTCTGTCAAGCATATTTATATTTATCTTCGTCAAATGCATTAAAATTCAGACCCCGCAGATAAACTGCCCAGATCCGTATATTTGAAACAATGGTATATGTAGAAGTTTAAACAGTTAAATTTTATAAACTTGTTTGTCGTATTTTGTTAAAACTATGAAAAATAAACATTATCAAACATTTTTTTAGAACAAAAAGGAGGTGACATTTCTTTAGAAACAGCTCTGGCTTTACTACAAACTGCTGCAAGTGAAATGGAAGAAGAGTCTGATTCATGCGCACAAAAATTTCTAAATGGTGAGATTGAAATTGATGAGTTTTTAGAACAGTTTGCAGTGAAGAGAAAACTGATGCATACAAGACTTGTCAAAGCAGATAAACTTTCAAAGATTCTACAACTTGGTGACCTTTCACTTCTACCTTCTTATATTAATGCACCTCCTGTTAATATTAATCCAGGTTATTTTCCTGGAATCCCTACATCAAGTCCAAGTTCTGTGCCATATCCAACTGGTCCACTGAATATGCCCATGCCATCAGAAATTAATTATTTTCAAAATTTTTAGATAGATTAAAAGATTAATATTTTTGTATATCTGTAACTTTGTAAGGGCCTTAGTTTTAAATATATTAACTAATAATATGTACTAATAATTATTTAGGACCTCGCCAGTATGGTGGGTTCATGCTTCTGATCTTAACCCTAACTTAATACTAATCTTAACACTAATATTGTCTTAATCCCAAGAATATGAATCAATGTTAATGCAACCTTAACATTAGCCCTGCCCTAAAGGGTCCTAAGAAATATGGGATATTTTATATTCCTAGGGTTAGTGCTAATTCAAAATTGAATTGTGCAAGATCAGAACCAAGGGTTTTAAGAATTTTCAAAATAATATTTTACTTGTTGAATTTGACGGTTTATAAATGTTAATAAACTATTCATTTTTTGGTCTAAAAATTATTAATGTAAAAATTAGTCTCTAGTATTCGAAATGCTAAAAATATTTTTGAAGTTTGATTAGGTCAAAAGATATGTTTCTTATGAGCGCAAGCGCTTACTAGAATATTCTTAAGGCTACGCAGGGCCCGCACCTGTACTTAAAACAAGTAGGAGAAGTACGAACGGCATTTCCTTAAGTTCTTAAAATTATGCTTAATGTTAAGGGTAAGGTTAGGACTAATATTCGAGGTATGAACCCACCATAAGTCTTATCTAGATTTTGGTAACTGGTTTAGAAATTCAGTTAAGGAAATAATTGATTTTGAACATAATTTTATGTTTTAACATTTTTCTTAATTTAACAACACTTCATTTTTTATTGATATGCATTGTATGATTTTGGAGGCCAATGTTTTCCAATGTATTCCTTTACCTCATAAAACATTATAGAGCTACATAAATTGCTAAATTTATGAAGAATATTTTATATTTGTTATACTGTTATTCGATGTTTCGTTAAAAATGTTACTTGTTTATTTGTAGATGTGAGGGAAAAAAATTATTAAAACATATACGAAAAGCCATATTTCATATCTCTTTTTACTTTTTATATATTCAAGATTGTGTATTAGATTATTTGTATTTATGTGTTTATATTGAGGGTTAGAAGTATTTATACATACATATCCTTTAAGCCGTGGACCAACATAACTGGACGCGTAGAATTTAGCGGTGTAGCGTATCGTACGGCGGAGAGGAGTCCCCACATGTCGTACGTTTTCAGGCGGATTTTAACAGTCTTAATCAATGGCAGCTCGTGAGTGTGAGTATATAGGAAGGTGAGGCTACGATGACGTTAATAATTTTGTTTAAATACAAATACATTTTCTCACCTATGAAGTATTATTCAGCGACGCGTTATCCTTTTTTTAATGGTTTGGTTTGGTTACCTAATAGATTTGGTACGCAAAAATATTTGAAAAGTCTTTAAATACCTATTGTCTACCTTGCCTCTTATCGTTAAATATTGCGAAAATTTTTGACTCCTTAATATTTATGTCTTTTTTCAGTTTAATTTTGTCTTAGAAAAGGAGTTTCAAGTATAGAAAGAATAACGTTATAAATACCCGTATAACCAAACAGTATAGAACCTCTATCGAGCCTATATTAAAATCTTTAGTCGATAAAGGCAGCTTTTATTCTTTTGGTACAGCGACGATACGTGTTTGAATACAGTCTAGCCTATACTGAATAAAGTTGGCCTGTATTGATACTTTACCGCCACTATACATTCTGGATTTAGATTGAATAAAGTTAATTGTCGATTCGTTATCGTACGAAAATTATCGTATATGTATTAAAATATATATCCTATAGAAAGTTTTTCTTGTTACCTGAATTAGAAAAGTTATGTTGAAGTAAATTCTTAAACATATCCTTTGTAGTATTGTATATATTCCAAATATTAATATAAATATTCTAAAGGCATAAAATACTACAAATGATATGTTTAAGTTAGTTTACTTAAACATAACTTTTTTAATTCAGGTAACACTTTTAAAAACCAAAGAAAAATTTTCTAGATATATTTTAATACATATTTTGTAAAGTACGCCTATCAAACCTATAGGTTAGATAAGATTTATATTGGGGCGATTTAAGTAAAATTACTGAAAATTTGATTACTCTTTTATTATATTTTTACTTACAAATTCGTGTACACTACTGTTTTCATCAGTTTTAAAACTTTCATCAAGTCTTGTAACTTCATCAAGGATGTTCATGGGAAAATTTCATCTTGCCCCTTCTTACCCCAATGTGACCATGTGACCATCAGTACCGTTATTATAATTCCCCGCGGAAGTCTTCTATTGTTTAGATATATTAGGTATGACCTGCCCTTCAATAACTCAACTTGTGGAAAATAAACAGATTTCAAGTTTTAGATTTTTCTTCAATTATATTATAGTAGAATGAGTAGAATGTTGAAGAAACACGGAGACGCACATTTGTATCTGGCATATTAAAATTATTATAACCCCAGAAATGATGCACCAGTGGAATATCATTATAGATATATAAAATAAATGAAATTGTAAAGGATCAGCACATATTTACTATGTATAACTATACAAATTTGTATAGAGTTAATAAAGGATAAGTAAAGTTTTCGTAATAGTGAATATTGTCATCGAAAAACTGTATAGAATCTGTATTTATGCGTTATTGATAGCTATATAGATTCTTTATTTGCGTTATAAATATCATTCATCTATTCTCTATAGGAGAACATATACAGGCAGTGCTTTATGGTTGCTATAAAGATTAAATACAGAACATGTCTGTAAAGGAAATATTTGAGTATTCTTTAAATATGCTTTATATATGAAGTCTTTATCGCGACATCTTTATAACAAAGAAATTAATCTATATAGGCTTGAGTTTACTATATCGCGTGGTTATACGCTTAGATTATACGGGTAGGATTCATTTTAAAGAAAACACTAAAATTCAACTCCTTTTCGGTATTTTAAAATAAATAAAATAAATCTTGGAAGTTCAGTTCTGGTCGTTCTACTGTGTACACACGATAGTGTGCTGCTCCGGTTTCTTGTCGTTTTTCGGATTAAAATTGTTCATTTTTGCAGCTTTTTTCTCGCGTGTGTTATTTAACAAGATACAGTTTACTTAGTGCACGTTTTTTTGATGAGAAAAACTTCGGAATTCTATGTTTTTTTGCTGGAAACAGTCTGCTGGTGACTTATTGTTTATCATACTCTTTTTTTATTGTCACGTGAATAGTCCGCTATTAGTGAGTTTTTACTTTGAAGAGTTTTAACGTTCCTAGACGTTAAAAATAACGCTGACACGGAATGCCATCGAATCGAGTTACATGTACTTGTTGTAACGCAGCATTTGAGAAGCAATTTATAATTACTTGCTCCGTTTGTAACAAAGTATTCAAGAATACCTGTGTGGATATTAGCAATAGTGAAGTACGTATCATTAATGCTAATAACGGCTATGATTGGTCTTGCCAAAACTGTCGCAAATTAAAATGTGATCTAAAAGAATTGAAAAGTTTAGTTATTCAACTGCAGGAAGAAGTTAGGTCACTTAAGGCAGTTTCCGTCGAGCAATCCAAAACACCATCCAACATATCATTTGAGGATATTATTCAAGAAATTAGCGAACGTAATAGAAGAAAAGCTAATTTAGAGCATAGCAATAATGCATAATGCATGGGGTTAAAGAAGTGGATCAAGATTTGAACGTAACTAGCAGGAAGGAGGCAGATAAAAGAACTGTTCAGGAAATTCTTAAAACGGTTAACAATGGAATAGATACTAGCGAGATTGTTCCTGTCAGACTTGGAAGGTATAATGAGCAACGAGATCGACTGATTAAGGTGCAATTGGCTAATGAGGATCAAGTTAGAACTTTTATTAAAAACGCTAGTAAGCTAAAACAAGATTCAAATTATAAAGGAATATTTATCAGTTTCGATAAAACACCTCGGCAGTTGGCAGATCTTAAGTCATTGAAGGGTGAACTGCAGAAACTTCGAGATGAAGGGGACAGTACTAGTAGAATCAAGTATGTTGGAGGTGTTCCTAAGATTGTTAATGAAGCTTCAAACTAACATCGCCCAACAGTGCCGGTATTCAGCTGATCAGTAATTTATTGCTGGCGTACCAAATGTGCGCAGACTTAATGCAAAAATAGTTCAGTTTTATGCTTCAGTATGGGAAAGTGCATTCGATATAATTGTCTTGACTGAAACGTGACTTAAGCCTGAAATACAGTCTACGGAACTATTTCCTGTTACCTATATAGACTATGGATCAGACAGGAGATTGAACCAGTTGTGCTTGTCTACCGGAGGAAGTGTGTTAATAGCTTGTAAGTCAAATATTGAGACAGTAAAACTGTTACTTTGGTGCATTTGGTGGGCTGTAAATGTACTTTTGGTTATATTATTTCGATTCTGTAACAATCATAAAATAACTTATATCACTTGGGAGGAGGATCGTCACAGGACAAATCCCCCTGCACAGAATAAAAGAAAATCAGAAGAGTTTCCAAAAAAACCAGAAGAACATAATCTAAATAAGACTCTTAGAAGTGGAAGAACATTTTCGAAAAAGGAGTAATTAGGTACATTTTCTTTTCTTTTTATTCCGAATAATTATAGTTTTCACGAAATTTACAAGAATTAATTATATTATTATTTATTATAGATAAGTCTTCTCTTGAGATTGAGATTTTTTTTTGTGATGAATAATTACTTAAGGGATTTTAGAAGTGACAAAGTTAAGAGCACAATAATTAAAAACTTTAATGAATACACTAGCTTCTTAGACAAAAACAGTTCAATATTTTCAGTTTACCACACAAATATAAGGAGTCTTGAAGAACATATCACTGAATTACAAGTATATTTGACAGCCTTAAAAAATAATTTTGAAATTATTATATTAACTGAGACCTTTGTGCTGGATGATACCTCATTGTTGAATAACCCTGGCTATAAGTTCATCTACAATGACGGGAAAGTTAGCAGCCACGACGGTACTGTCATCTACGTTAAAGACAATTTACAATATGAATTTAATATTGACTCTCTGGATAACATAAAAATAATTAACTTACTAATAAAACAAAAAAAATAAAATTTTAATGTACTGGGATTATATAGGTCGCCTTCAACTAACATCGATAATTTTAATCAAAATCTAGGAGATTATTTAGAGCGAAATAAAAATCGATTTAGAAAGAATAATCACTGCATGTTGATAGGAGATATTAACATAGACCTTCTTAATAACGAAAACACTGTAGAAGAGTACAAAAACTCTTTAGTTGAAAATGGTTTCTTATCTGCAGTAAATGATATTACACGACCCGAATCAAAAACTTGCATAGATCATATCTTTATAAAATCGAAAAATCCAACCGATCAATTACACTCATTTATATTCCAAAGTAAAATAACCGATCATTATCCGATAGCCATACATATACCATACAAAAACCCTTTCTATGAAAAAAATCAAAAAAATCAAAAAGAACTAAATGAATTTGATAAAACATACATAAACAAAAATAAATTAAAAGAACTAGTATCACATGAAACATGGGAAGGTGTATACAAAGAAATAGACGTAAATACAGCTACAGAAAAATTCAAAAAAACATTACAATATCATATAAAATCTGCAACAACAATAAAAAAATTTAACAGCAAAAAAGTCAATAAAAACCCTTGGATTAGGCCCCCTTGCTTAAATCAATAAACACCAAATATGAACTACTAAATAAATCAAAAAAACATCCTAATAATCCACATTTTGCGCGCCAATATAAAGAATATAGAAATAATCTAAATAAAATTCTTGATGAAGCTTACATTAAGTACTACAAATCCAAAATGGACAAAGATACTGAAAAACCCGACAAATTATGGAAAAATGTAAAAAATATTCTTAATAAAAACCAAACAAAAAAAAATACATTTTGCGAAATTAGAAAAGAAGATCAAATTATATCTAAAAAATCCGACATAGCAGAATGCTTTAATAAGTA